AGATGGAAACCCAAGGGGTGCTAAAGTCATTAGCCCTGAGTTCTCTTTTAGACTCTCCCCAGTATAACCAGTTTGGGATTATTATTTGCTTTCTTCTTATCTGTGATGGGAAGTTCCTTTCCAGCTTTTGACATTCTGTCATTGTAATGCCAGCAAACTTTTAAAATGAATAATAATTATAATGATGATAATAAACCTGACATTTATACAGCACTTCAAGGTTGATCCTCACAGCAGTTCTGAGGGGAAGGGCTTTTATTATCCCTATAGTATAGTTGGGGAAACAGGTTCAGAGACTTTTTAAAATTAGCATTGATTATTTTTTATCAATTACATCTAAACAAGAAAATTTTACATTCATTTTTTTAAAAATTTTGCATTCCCAATTCTCTCCCTCCTTGAGAAGGCAAACAATTTCATTTCGATTCTACACGAGCAGTCATGTAAAACATTTCGATATTAGGCATGTTGCAAAAGAAAATGAAGAACAAAAAACCAAAAATCATAAAGAAAATTTTAAAAAGCATGCTTCAATCTGCATTCAGGTTTTATTAGTTCTTTCTCTGGAGATGGTTAACATTTTTCATTTAGGCTACAGAAGATGGTCTTATATAACAATATGTTTATTTGGATACAAAAAGCAATCAATGTATTTCTTCGTAAATGAGTCCTTTGGAATGGTCTCGGATCACTGTATTGCTGAGAATAGCTAAGTCGTTCACAGTTCATCATTGCACAATATTGCTGCTGCTGTGTACAACGTTCTCCTGGTTCTGCTCACTTTGCTTTGCATCAGTTCATGGAAGTCTTTCCAGGTTTTTCTGCTTAGAGATTTTAAATGACTTTATCACTGAGTGTAAAAGGTGGAATTCAAATCGAGATTCTCCCAACTGTAAGTCCATTGCCTTTTTTTTTTTTTTTAACCATACCATGCTATCTCAAGAGAGAATGAAAGACTGTTGAGATCTTTGATTTGGCAAGCATATCTAGCTGCAGGTCTGAGTTTTTTCATTGGTTGGCTCTGTATAGCAGAACTCTGGTTAGCTGGCACCTATACAACTGGAAGCCTTATGCAAGTGGCACTGTGGGTCGTACCAAACTGTTGGACATCTGGGGACAACTAGTGCTGCCAACAGAGTCTTTTTTTTTTTCTTTTTGACTAGGCAATGGGGTTAAGTGACTTGCCCAGGGTCACACAGCTAGTAAGTGTTATGTGTCTGAGGCCGAATTTGAACTCAGGTCCTCCCGACTCCAAGGCCAGAGCTCTGTCCACTGCGCCACCTAGCTGCTCCTCAACAGAGTCTTTTACCAAGTTCTAAGAAATCATTCTGTAAGTGGGAAAGGCCTTGAGGTTAAAGGAGTGTTGAATTGACCTGTAAACTCACCAAGTGGTTATAAACATTCATCTCACTCACCTCCATTCAATAAATATTGACTAAAATTTGCTTAACTCAGTGCTCACTCTAGCTGAATATGTGGGCAGTATATATAAACACAGGAACCAGAAACTTCAGTTCAGTAAAGCAGACCCTCCTGTGGGGCCAGTCAGTCAACAAACATTTATTAAGTACCTACTTTGTGCTAAGCGGCATGCTAAGTACTGTGTTGTACTAGATGGTCACTAGGGGCCCTTCCAGCTCTAAATTTCATGGTTCAGTGGAGTTAGATCTGAAGGAAACCTTAGTTTAGTGATGGGAAGGAAATTTCCCTAGCTTATACAACTAGAAAGCTCTCAGACAGGAAGTTAGGTCTGACTCCAAATCCAGTGCTCACATAGGCTGGCCTGTCCCTGTCAACCCTTAGGCCGGGGGATTATTCTGAATAGGAAGTACTTTTTACAGATTTTCTGAGAAAGCTAATCCATTAGGTAGATACAACCTAGCACTTTTGATCTCATTATAACCCAAAACATATCATTTTTAATGTTGATAGTGCTTGGGATTTTGTGAAAAGTGGGAGGGAGCTTAAGGGGTTATCTTTGGGCAGCGAGGATATTATTAGCCTCAACCATGGGGGGGTTCCCAATGGACCCTTGAAGGTCATGTCAAGCAGTGTCAAGCAGGAAAGGTGGTGGGGTTCAGTGGTTAGGGTGCTAATTTGAGAAAACTAGACTTTATTTCCATCTCCATTAAAGTTACACTTTGCTTATTCATGGTGACGAAATGACCGTAGGTCCTCAAAGACCATGCCAGCAAGATGAGAGCGCCGGCAGGCTCGATCATCCTGGAAAGGCTTTGGGGGTGGGCCTAGAGGTGGATTGACTGGAGCAGCCCAGCTCAGTCTGGAGGGAGTCATCACCATTTCCACGGCAGCAGATGAGTTCTTGGACCCAGAATGTCTTAAAGACCATCTTCCAAATGAGAGAGAATGAGTGGAAGAAGAGGATTGTTCACAGGCCCAGAGAGTTGGAAGGGGCCTTGGGGTCCATCTAGTGTAACTCAGATGCAAATCCTCACGATAACATACCTGACGAGTGTCCCTGGGGGCTATTTCTGTGCAGATGCTCCCGCAGTGTGCTGATGTAATGAAGCAGTGACAGATTCTCAGTCTTTTTTTGTTTCTATCACTTGGCAGGTGACCTTGTAGGGAGTCAAGAGAGAGGAAGCTCTTATAGCCAGGTGTGGCACACGTTGCAAGGGATGGAGGCCTTTGTGCTCTGAGTTGGCTGTAGGTTTCCTAAGCCCCAAGGACACAGAGAGCTCTTTCTTCACATTATTTCTCTTCTGGTTCTTGTTTCAGTGCCTGGTACAGCCAGCTGCCCTGTTGGAGTTGGGGGCTTGAGGGCATTGGGCCCTTCTCTGGTTGTGCAAACATCTCCATTTTATAGAACCTTTTTTTAGGGGGATGTCTTGTTTTTGCATCACGGTCATTGGATGCAACTTTTTTCTGACTTAGAAAAGGCAGTTAGACCAAAGCCACCAGTGCAGCCACCACACACATCCGACAGTGTATGCCACCTTCCAAATCTGTAGAGGCAGCAAGGTGGCCCACTGGTTAGAGAGCTCCACTGAGCATCAGACCCACCTGCATTCAGATCTTGACTCCCACATTACCTGTGTAACTGAGCAAAATCATGTAACAGCAATAGCATTCATATAGGGCTTTAAGGTTTGCAAAGTACTTTGCAAATATTATCTCACTTTATCCTCACAACAACCTAAGGGTGGTGGGTGCTAAGACGCCCCCATTTTACTGAGGAAGAATCGGAGGCTGAGAGGTTAAGAGTCCTCCTCTTTAAAATGTGTTGTTGTGAGGAACAAATTTGATCTCATACATAAAGTGCTTTGCAAACCTTAAGACATAATATTATTCTTATGTGGCACTCCCCGCTGGCCCCCCCCCCCCGCCATCGCTCATACTCACACCCATCTACTGAGAGAAGTGTGTGGTCAATCTTTCTCTGGGGCCAATGCTGACAATTACAATTAATCAGAATTAAATTCTCTTTCAGTGTTGTTTTCATTTGTATTATTATAGTTATTATTTATAATCTGTTCATTCAACAAGTCTACCCATGATTCTCTTAATCCCTTGAAATTATCTGTCATCAGTAGTAATTTTAAGCTCGAAAGGATCTAAACTGTCATTCCGTCTAATCCCTTCTTTTTACAACTGAGGAAACTGAGGCACAGAGATTAGATGAGTTGCCCAGGGTCACAAAACTATTCAGATTCTCAGGTAGGATTTGATTTTAGGTCTTTTTGACCTCAGCTCCTGACTAGTGTCCTGTTCACTGTGGAATGCCATCTATATTTTATATATAGGCAATATTTCATTATGTTCATATACCATAGTTTGTTCAGCTATTACCCAATAAAAAGGGTACCCTCTTTGTTTCTAGTTTTTGCTACAAAAGGTAATGCTGTGAATATTTTGGTCTATATGGGCCCTTACTGTCTTCCCCTCCTTGGGCCATATGCCCATTAGTGAGATGGTTGGGTCATTTCTCCTTGTGTCTTCACCTTTATAATTACCAGGACTTTGGATTCCTTAAGAGTGTAATATTGGATTCCTATATCTTGTGAGAGAGAGAAAGAGACAGAGACAAGAGAGAGGTAGCAAGAGAGAGAGATATCCTTCCTGTATGCATGTTAGTTAGTCTCAGGACTGTCTTGTGACACTATGCATCCCAAGGACAGAATGCTCCTGGGACTGTTTTATGGTCTTGTATTGGTGCAATCACGTTCAGGAATGTGCAGAGGCCAAATGCCTGTAAGAGCATGATTTCCAAGGTGTAACTTCCAGTTCATAGGCCTGTCATCTCTGACACGTGCCCAGGAAGACTCCAGGATCAGCAGATGCCCCACTGGCAGAGTAGGTGCTCAATAGATGCTCATGGATTGATTGGTTAGAGGTCATCTTGTCGGAGGCCCAGAGAGGACATCTGGCTTATAAATGGCAGGGCTGGAATTTGAGACCAGATCCTCTGGATGTGATTATATATCCTTCCCTGTGGCTTCATCTTCTTGGATATTTCTAGCCCCAAGGTTCTTTATCCCTAAGGGGTATTTGGATAGATTTCAGGGGGTCTGTGAACTTGGGTGGGAAAAACAAGGATATCTTTATTTTTTGTTACGCTTTGACTAAACTTAGCCAGTTTAAATAACTTCTCCAGTTATTTAAAAACATTTTGGGACAGGGTCCATAGGCATCACTAGACAGACTGTCCAAGGTGTCCAGACATTATATAAGGTTAAGAACCCTTGCTCTATCCTTCCTTTGGATCTGTCTGCTTGATCCTAGCTTCAATATTCCAAGTGAAAGTTTGGCTTTTCCCAAATCATTCAGTTCTACTGGCAATGAGTAAGGATATCCAAGGGATTATCTATTCATTGTTGACTCATCACTCTTGGAAAGCATATGCAATTGACCATTCCAGGATCCATTTAATTATTTCTGCCTCAACAAAGCCAGGAGAAGAGAGTGGACACAGCAGGAAACTAACGAGAATTCAACAGCTGTCTTGTTAATGACAAGGGTATTTCTACCTCCCTTTCTAGATTGAGGAAACTCGGCTCAACATCGACAAGATTGCAGAGAACGTGGAAGGAGCTAAGAAACTTTACAGCATCATCCTGTCAGCACCAATCCCAGAACCAAGTGAGTTTTCACCCAGAGCTGATTCACCAGGAGATGTCTCTTTCCACCTCATCAAGCCAACCTCAGTTTCCAACAGGTGCTGTGTACAGGACAGCTGCTGCATTAATGATTATGTTAATAGCGCCTTCTACCTCATATGGCCATAAGCCCCGTCTGCTTGTCCAACTTGTCCCCACCACTCACTTATTACTCAACTTCTGACAGATGAACTTCCTGCTGTGTCACCCCTATAGCTTTTTATCCTTTGTTATTTTTTTTAATCTCCCCTCACTCCCTCTCCTCCCAATTTGTTACCATTGTCCCATGGGACAATCCAAATCTGAGCCATTCTCCGAGGCCCACATCAATCCTACCTTTCCATGAAGTTTTCCTAACCCAGCTCTCATAGAACTCTTCCTTCTCAGAACTCATAAGGTGTTCACAGTCGGAACGACAGTTTCTAGGACTTAATTACGAATCATCTATAATTATTTCATGTTACAGATTCTGGGATCATGGGATCCTAGATTTAGAGATGGAAGGGACCGTAGGGTCCATCCTATCCAACCCCTTCATAATTACAGAGGAGGAAACTGAGGCCCAGAGGAGGGATGTGATCTGCCCAAAGTAATACAGGAGCTTCAAGTCATAGAGCTGGGTTGGTGAATATTGCTTGGATATTCTGTCCTGAGACCCAGTGAGTGTTATCATCTCTTCTTGGTGCATGACCTTGGTTAAATCATTTCCCTTCTCTGGATCTTAGTTTATTTCTCTCTAAAATGAGGCAGGACCAAATGATTATTAAGGTCCTGTCTCTGAACCTTTGAAGCTCTTGTGATGAATTCTTTGGTTCTCCTGGAGGGACCGAGAGCTCCGGCTCTCCTCTGTTGATGCTTGTATCTACACGCCCCCCCTAATTTTTTTCCTCTGCCTCTGTTTCCTCAGAAACAAAGGATGACCTAGAACAGTTAACAACAGAGATTAAGAAAATGGCCAACAGCGTCCGGAACAAGCTAAAGAGTAAGAAAGAAACTATCTCTGAGCCGTCCTGATCCTTAAATATTTCCTATCCTGCTGTGGAAACCCTGCTCGTAGATGACCGTGTCTCCCTCTTCATTACCCCTCCTGGCCAAGGAGGGCCTTGCCTCTTTTCTGCCTCTTTGCTAATCTGTACTTTCTGGGGATTGCTTCTTCTCTTCCCCATCAGCCTTTCTTTCTCAGGGACACTTTTGCATATGACTTCCCAAATCCCCTTCTATGGCACATACAGTCATGTCACTTTGTTGGGGCATCATGGTGGGTGCGGTGCATGGGGACAGATGAGGAGTTGGGAGAGCATGATTTCTCACCGGTGGTGAGGACATGACCTGATCTGGGCTGGGTTATGGAACACCTTTATTCTAGTGACAGTTGGGGTGGGGTGGGGTTCTGGTGTCCAGTACCCTGGTTAGAACACATCCAGAGTACTATGCTCTCCATGATTTGTGAAGGCCATTGCTAAGTTGGAGAGCATCTAGAGTGGGTCAGCTAGGGAAGTGAAAGGCCTTGAGTTCATGCCACATGAGGACTGGTTGAAAGAACTTGGGGGTGTTTGGGATGGAGAGGATGAGCCATTTGGTGGGAGAGTGTGGATGAGGGTTGATCTGAAAGTATTATGCTGTGGAAGAACAATTAGAATTACTCTGCTGGGCCAAGAGGGAAGAAGTAGGAACAGTGGGAGGTTTCAACAAGGCAGATTGAAGCTTGATGTCAGGAAAAAGTTCCTGCTGAGGAGAGCTGTCCAGAAGCAGGGTGGACAGCCTGGGGAGGTGTGGGATTTCTTCTAGAAGAGTCTGGATGCCCCCTTGTTACATGTGGCAGAGGCAGTTGTTTTTCAGGGATGGGTTGGGCTAGATGCCCCCTGAGGTCCCTTTAACTCAGAAATGCTATGGCTCTGTGGTCCATTTCCAGACATGGAGAGGCACATCGAGCAAGATGAGGTGCGGTCTTCGGCAGATCTTCGGATACGGAAATCCCAGGTGTGGTGCTTAGCTCTTCGCCTTTGCTCTCATGGGATTAAGTCAGGCGGTATCCACCGAATCCTTTTTGTGGGCCCAACCCTATGCGAGGTGCTGTAGGAATAAGATAAATCTGTGGCCCCTGTCCTTAAAGGGTTTACAGTCTGGTCAGGGAGAATTGATTTGCCCACATGAAGCAACTGGAGGACCCTTAAAGAAGACGGTCAGTCAACTAGCGTTTATTAAACACCTACTATTTGCCAGGCACCGCGCTAATTGGGGGGAGACAACAGCATGTGTAAACAAGATATATTTGGAATATGTGGGGGTAGTCTCAGGGGGAAGGCCCGAAGATTGAGAAGACCTGGAGCCACAGGGTTCAGAGGGCATTTGTAGGCTTTAGAGCTAGAAGGCATCTTAGAAGTATTCTAACCCTTTATTTTAAAGAGGAGGTGGTGGAGTCCCGGAGATATGAAGTGATATGTCCAAAGTCACCTAGCTAATAGAACTGGCAGAGAGCCAGGATTGGAATCAAATAGAAATAAATAGAATGTTTTGGGGGATTGGACAATAAACACTATAGAACTAGAAGGGAGAGACCAGTGTGAGCTGGGGTAATCAGGGAGCACGCCATGGAGGATGTAGTAGAAGACTTTCTCTAAAGAGAGGGTTCTTAACCTTTTTCATCTTCTGGACCCCTTGGGCAGTCTGGGGAAACCTATAGGATCCCTTCTCAGAAGCACGTTTCTAAAAGGCAAAAAATAAGAGGATTGCAAAGGAAATCAATTATACTGAAATTAATCAACATAAATATATAATTCATTTGTTCAATCATTTTTCAGTCATGTCTGACTCTTTGTGACCCTATTTGAGGTTTTCTTGGCAAAGAGACTGGAATGGTTTGCCATTTCTTTCTCCGGCTCATTTTATGGATGAGGAAACAGAGGCAAACAGGGTTAAGTGACTTGCCCAGGTTCCCACAGCTAGTAAGAGTCTGAGATCAGATTGAAAATAAGTCATCCTGATTCTAGGCGCAGTACTCTGTCTACTGTGCCACCTAGCTGCCCAAATATATAACATATATTGTAAAATATGTTACATTAATAACAATAGATAAATTATATCTAAATTTATCAACATGAGTTAATTTCAATATAATTTTTATTATTATTAATATTCTGTATTAAAAAATAAAAAAAAAACCAAGTTTATGGACCTCAGATTAAGAACCCCGTAATTCTAGACAACAAATGTGAGAACTTTTGATACATTTAGAGCAGTTCTCTCTGGATTTCAGGTATAGTCAGAGATGATACTGGAGGGCTAGGAGCATAGTACAATAGTGTCTGTCTTCCCTTCACCCCCTCCTTCTGCCCACAGCACTCTGTCCTCTCCCGGAAGTTTGTGGAAGTGATGACCAAGTACAATGAAGCCCAGGTGGACTTCCGAGAACGCAGTAAAGGGCGCATCCAGAGGCAATTGGAAATCAGTAAGTTCTTGGAGGGAACGTGGGCCTCTACTCGCCATACAACCCCCTGTTCATGACTGCCCATTTCTCTGAGGCCAGGAGGTGGCTTTGGCCCAGGCCAGATTTCTGTCGTCAGCCTCAGGCATTGTTTACCAGGGCTTAGGACGCCCCCTGCTGGACATAGTGGAGAAGACAGTCAAGTTCTGGCTCCATTACAATTTATTGTGAAATCGTAGAGAGACCTAGACCAGCAGGGTCTTTGAAGGCTGTCTGATCTAGACCCCTAATTTAACCAGGAGGAAACTGAGGCTCTGAGAGCTTAAGTGACCGGCTCAAGGCCATGCAGCTTGTAGGTGTCAGAGCCTGGCCTTCCCTTCTCCAGGTCCAAAGCTTTCTTTACTATGCTCTGATAGCTCTTACCAGCCATGAGTTTATAATTCTCTTTTTTTCCTGAACCTAGAGTTACCTAGTACCTATAGGGTGGCTTAAAGGGAATTTAAAGGCCACCCTCCTCATTTTACACATGAGGAAACTGAGGCTTAGAGAGCTTAGGGGAGTTGCCTGGGGTCACACAGCTAGTAAATGTCAGAGATTGAATTTGAACCCATACCTTCCTGGATTCTAGGTCTGGTGTTCTAGACGCCATAGGGTAATGCTCTTCTCAATCGTACGGCTTTTGTTTTAGCCCTAGCAGTTGAAAGGGAGTGCCCAGTGGCTACATTAACCAAAATCTTTTACTTTTACCATGGTTTTACAACATGTTCCCCTCAGGCCTAGTTTCCAGGATGCCTGCTAAAGGATCTGTTCTGATTTTCTGTGTCTGACGTCCTCTTTCCTTTGGGCTAAAGCTGGCAAGAAAACCACAGATGAGGAATTGGAAGAGATGCTGGAGAGCGGGAACCCAGCCATTTTCACTTCTGGGGTGAGTGTTCCAAGAAGAGGAGGGATTGGGGGGTTGGAAGGGGGGTGCCTAGACTTGGTGGAGTAATCAGTTGCAAGCATTTCTTAATCACTTGCTCTGGGCCAGACACTGTGCTGGCTGATGGCAAGACAAAGACGAAAAGAAAACAGTTCCTGCCCTCAAGGAGCTTGCCTTAGTGCGTAGCTTTGAGAGGCAGGGGCCTTCAGAGAAACCTGTGAAAGAGCTCGGAGTTGGGAGCGTGGGAAAAGCGAAGGGCAGGGTGCCTTCAATTCCCACTCTCCCCCTCCCCCTCCCCACCTCTTAACTCAAAGTGGCTGCTCCTGCCTCAGTTTTCCTAGGGCACCCGATCTAGATTTGTGCTGTTCCCTTTTATCTCAGCATAATTAAAGTGAGCTTGTAAAGCTGCTCCATGCCTGGGCCTGAACTTTATTTCATCTCTGTGTCCTAAGCTCAGGTCCTTGAACTGGAGGCAGTGTGGTGTGCTGGTTGGAGAGCCAGTCCTGGCGTTAGAAAAATCTTTGTTCAAGCCCAGCTCTCTCTCGTTTCTCAACCTCCTGGCTTCCTTCAAGCGTCATCTCAGGTCCTGCTTTTGGCCATTGCCAGGAAGCAGGCCTCTGCTGGCCTTTCCCCTGGCTCCCAAGGTGCCTTCCCTCTGAGATTACCTTTCCATTTAATGCTTTATATATCTTTTATCCTCATAGGAGATGTGTCATCTCCTGCTTTAGAATGAGAGCACCCTGAGGATGAGGACTGTTACTGCCTTTTTAAAGAAATCCCCAGCATTTAGCACAGGGTCTGACACATAGTAGGTGTTTAATAAATGCTTGTTGACTGACACATATGGGCGCTAGTGGTCCTGAGCAAGCTACTCAATCTCTGAATGCCCCATGATTTAGAGAACACTTGTTGGGCCGCACTGGGAGATGGGATGTCCTCCCTGGGAATTCCCTCCAGATTTCCTAAGTATGGAACATTGACCTTTTGTGCCATGTTCCCTCTTGCCTTGTACCTGGTAGGTGCTGAATAACAGTTTGAATGAAGGGTGTGTGTGTGTGTGTGTGTGAGAGAGAGAGAGAGAGAGAAACAGGCAGACAGAAAGTATGAGAGAGAGACAGAGACACAGAGACCTAGAGGGAGACTGAGAGAGAGACCAATCCAGAGGGAGGAAGGGGGGAGAAGACAAGATCGGCAAATGCCAGCGGGGGGCTTGGGTCGCATATGTAACATAAAGGGATGTGTTGCAGATCATTGACTCTCAGATCTCTAAGCAAGCCCTCAGCGAGATCGAAGGACGACACAAGGACATTGTCCGGCTGGAAAGCAGCATCAAGGAGCTACACGACATGTTTGTGGATATCGCCATGCTCGTGGAAAACCAGGTAACTTGACATGGGGCAGTGAGCAGGAGGAGGGCACAGCCTAGCACCCAGGGAAGGAGGCAGGAAGGGGATGATTCAGTGGCCATGGAGGGGATCAGACCAAGAGGAATTCCGGGCCTCAGGAGGAGGCAGCCAGATTTAATCTAAGTCCTGGCTAGAAGACCAATATGGAATGACAGGAAGAGCGTGGAATCTAGTTTTAAATTCTGGCTCTGCCACCTACTAACCAGATAACCATGGCCAATCCATCTTCTCTCTTGGGGATTCTGTTTCCTCATCTCTAAAATGAAACTCTCCGCTAGAGTTTCCTTAAGGTTCTTTCTAACCCCAAGTGTTGTGTTCCTGGTTAGACCCCAAATTAGCTGCATGATTGTGTGCAAGTCACTTCTCTGAACCTCAGTTTCCTCATCTGTTAAATAGGGCTAATAAATGTCACCATAACTCCTCAAAGGGTAGTTATAAGGACAATGCTTTGTGAACTGTAAATCTTCCAGCTGAGAGGTGACCCCAGCCATGTGGGCTCTTTCCTCCCACAAGTGTATATTATAATCTCTTCATGCCCTCCATCCTGTATGATTCTTGCTCATGTCCTCCCATCAGTTAGTTCACTAAAGGGGGTCCACCCGATGTGCTGGAGGCCTTCCTTGCTTTGGGGGGTAGTGTGGTGTGTGAACTTTGAAGCACTATACATATGGAGCTGCTCTAATAGTACTAATTGTTATTCCTTTTACCACATGAAGGTAAGGCTTGGTTCTAACCCTCTTGCCCATTGAGTATTTAGCAAAGCTAGCTCCCAGGGCTAGGGGTGGGAATCTCCTCTCCTCTCTTCTTCCTGTTTGAGCTTACTTGATCTCAAGTACCGGGGGGCCCTAGATGTTCTGCTGCAGACCTTAGCACCCACTTCTCAAGTTCTCCTCCTCTACTTTGTGTTTTTTTTTTTGCCCACAATGCCATGCGAGGATCGGGTGTGAGACTTGGGGAACGGTGAGTGCCCTCTTATTCTGTTTCCGGTCTATTCTCCAGTGACGGGGAAGGGCTGAGGAGGTTTTAGTGCATGGGGCCTGGGACCTTCAACTTTTGTATACCAGGGAATGTACTGAAGAGAGGATTTAGATTTCTCTTTCTTGTCACAAGAAACAGGGATGATGAGTGTATGAAAGGGGTAACAGATCTCATTCAGAGACTCCTTCCTGGAGGAGGGAGAGGGAGAAGTCTGCAAAAGCAGCTCGGGTAGGCCAAACCCCTCCATCGCTTATGGCCCAGCCAGAGTTCTTGGACTCTTCTATTACATGGGCCATTTTAACAGTTTGGTAAAGCGTATGGATCCCTGCTCTGAATCAACTTTTCAAATGCATAAAATAAAATTACATTTTATTACAAAGGATTACAAAGGAAACCAATCATATTGAAATAGTTATTAAAATACTGAAAAAGAAGCCAAGGTCATGGACCCTGGATTAAGAACCCCTGTCTTGGGGCAGCTAGGTGACGCAGTGGATAGAGCATTGTCCCTGGATCCAGGAAGACCTGAGTTCAAATGCGGCCCCAGACATATAACACTCACTGGCTGTGTGACTCTGGGTAAATCACTTAACCCCAATTGCCACACACACACACACACACACACACACACACACACACACACACACACAATTAAATAAAATAGAAGAACCCCTGTCTTAAATGATATTATGATGGCCTTTGAGGTGGCCTTTGAGGAAACCAGGATCCCATTAAGAACTGACTCTCTGGTTCAGAAAGAACCTGATGAACCAGGAGAGGATGGCGTCCTGACCAGCTCCCAGAGTGGGTGATACAAGGCCTGCAGGGAAGGAAGTGGAGGCTAGGAGAGCGCTGGATTCCGAGTTCAAAGGCCTGGCTTTCCTCTTCCTGGCCCTGTTCCTTGATAACGAGACAACTTAGCACGAGCCTGAGCGTCCTCACGGGCAAAGTGAGGATAAAAATCCTTGTCCTTCCTGCCGCAGAGATCACGAGGATCGCATGAGAGCATGTATCTTGAGCCCTTAGTAAATGTGAAACTTGACCTGAAGATAAGATCTAATGGTGTTAAATTCACTTCATCTCTTGGCCTCAGTTTCCCTATCAGAGAAATGATCAGATTGGACTAGATGATCAGCCTGAGGTGTCTTCCAGTTCTAAATCTGTGATGCCACTTGGGCAAGGCATTTCTTCTCCCTCGGCCTCAGTTTCCTCGTAAACAAGATGACCACTAAGGCCTCTTCTAGTCCTGACTTAAGTCAAGATTCCTGGGCTCAATCTACTCTTGGCTGTGGGTGATCAACCATGGGGGCAGTTCTCTTGTGGGGTCAGCAGCCCTGAGGTGTGGGGGTTGGGCTTTGTGTGGAATGTGACCAATATCTGTCCTTCACAGGGGGAGATGATAGATAACATAGAACTGAATGTGATGCATACTGTGGACCATGTGGAGAAGGCTCGGGATGAGACCAAGAAGGCGGTAAAATACCGTAGTCAGGCCCGGAAGGTGAGAGTCCCCTGGGGCCTTGCCTGAAGAGAGCACCTACCTTGCCTGCTATTTCTCTTTCCTATTTTCTGCCGTGCCGTCTCTGCTTTCCGCTGCTGCCTCCCACATCCCTGGAAAGGGAGCCATGATTGATCGCATTGAGAACAACATGGACCAGTCAGTGGGCTTCGTGGAGACGGCCGTAGCCGATACCAAAAAGGCTGTGAAATTCCAGAGTGAAGCTCGCAGGGTGAGAGCCCCAGCCTCGTCACCACCTGCCTCACCCCCTTCCTGGCCGGCCCTTCCTGTCTGTCCATTCCCTGCCTCAGTCCTCCCAGTAGAATCACTCCCACCCCTTTATTCTCGTCTTGGACTGGCACGAATCCTGTTCTTGTCCAGGCTCGGGCGTATAGAAGGTGCTGGACTGGGAGTCCCATCAGTTGAGTTTGAGTTACCGGCTTTCTAACTAATTACGTGACCTTTGAGTAAGTCACTTCCCCTCTGAGGCTCAGTTTTCTTAACTGTACAGTGAGGAACGCCCATACAATAGGGGCCCTCTGTTTCCTCATCCGTATAATAGGAATCCTTGGTTTTCTCATGTGTGCAATGGGACTTGGGGTCTGTACATTTCCTTATATGTATAACTGGGACCCCAGTTTCCTCATCTGTCCAATGGGGACTTTTGGTTTCCTCATTTGTGCCAGATAGTCTTTAAGGTTCCTCACAGAATGAATCTATAAACCAGAACCCTTGAAGACAGTGATTTAGGCATTACACCAAAATCTTACCTGTTCTTGGGCCTGATTGGTAGCTGAGTGCTTTCAGAACATGACCTTGGGCTCTCTTCTCCAGAGGTTTGCTTTGGTCTTGGACAGGAGGGCTGTGCCTCTCCTATCCCAGGTACTTTGTTACTTCAGCAATCAGAATGACAAAGTGGGCTTGGATTTAAGCACCAGTGAGCCTAGTTTCAAACTCCACTTCTGGCACAATGATGGCATTTTAGAGAGACGGTGTGGCATCATAGCTTGCAGTTAGATGACCCGGGCTCTGATCCTGGCTCTGTCATGTACTAGCTGGGTGATGTGAGCACTGGGCGAACCACAACGCCCTGTAGAAATAGAAGTGGTGCTGTCAGAATGCTCACCCTTGTCAGTTCCTTCATAATCAGGACTCGGCATCCAAAAACTTTTTGCTCAAGTGGTGGCAGTTTTTCAGACTTTTCTTTCTACCTGGCTTCTTGGCATCTGGCATCATTGCTGTCTTTGGGTCTCTTCCAAGCTTAACTGTTTTCTGTGCTGGGTTTGAGGGAGTAGAAACCTCCTCTACAGAATACTTCTGGGCTGCTCTTAACCAGGCCTTCTCTTCTGAGATCTTTGTATTCTAGTTTGCTGTTCTAGAGCTCTATCTCATAGCGTGCCCTAGGCATGCTGGGGTGATAGTAACCCCTACCCCTTCCAATTTATTAATCCCTAAGGAGAGATAACAGGCAGTTTGGTTTAGTGGACAGTGTGCTGGGTATGGATTTAAGAGAGATTTGGGTTCAAATCCTGACTCTGACACTTGCAAGCTATATGACCCAAGCAAGTCATTTTATCTCTCTGAGCTGATTTTCCTCATCCATAAAATGGAGGTATAACATCTACTGAACCTGGATTTTTGTGAAGATCAAAGGAGACTATGTATGTAAAGAACTGTAAAAATTGGAACTGCTATTTAAATGTCAGCTAGTAGTAGTAGTAGTAGTAGCAGTAGTAGTAGAAGTAGCACTAGTAGTGGTAGCAGTAGCAGCAGCAGCAGTAGTAGTAGTAGTAGTAGTAGTAGTAATAGTAGTAGTAGTAGTAGTAGTTATGTGGAAGCTTGGAATAATTTTGTATCCCTTCCTGCTGGCATTCAGTTCTGTCCAGGTCAACATTTATTAGGCATTAGTTCATTAACAAGCATTTTTTAATCCCCTGTTATGTATTAGAAACTATGTGAGATGTAATGGCACCTCAGTCTGTACAATGAAGTGGCCTTTGGTTTCTTCATCTTTACAGTGAGGAAAAGAGGCTCAGTTTCCTCACCTGTATAAAGGGGGATTTTTGTTTCCTCATTTATACAAAGACAAAAACAAAACTTCCTTACTTTCAAGAAACTTATATTCTCACTTAAGAATATTTAGAAATTCAGTCACTTGACACACATTTTGTTGAGGTCAGAAGCTATTGCTACTCTTCAAAGGGATAACTGCCTGATTCTCTGGGATTCAGACAGAATGCTTCTTTCATTGCAGAGATGACCTAGGACTGAATGGGTTGACTCAAAGCCATAACAAGGGTGGGATAACAGAGACTTTGTCCCACAGCATCAACATTTAGAGTGTTGATAGCATTTGCTATCCTTTATCAGGTTCCTTATAAGTAATTAGTTAAAATAGGAAACTGCCAGGTGGCCAAGAGGCCCTTTTCCTTGGCCTGTTCTTAGCCTGTTTACTGCTATGGAAGTGGCCTTCTCAGCAGTGGATTTCCTGGTGTGACAGGGTCTACTGTTCCCTGAAGTGAAATTGTCTTTGACTTGAGAGTGTCTTTTGTGTTCATCACCCCAATTACCAGGCTTGCTAATTAATTCCTCCTTTGTGAGAGGACCATAGCCAGTTAATTTGCATTTCTTGGTTATTTATGATAATTTCTTCTTCCTCTCTCTTATACCTCCCTCCAGAAAATGGTAATTATCATTCTCATAGTTGTGGGGATCCTGGGCATTTTAGCTCTGATCATCGGGCTTTCCGTCGGGCTGAAATAGCAGCAGCTGCCATTGACTGCTGGCACTGAACTGTAAGTAGTATGGACCTGATCCTCGGGGGTCTCTGTTGACTCTCAGAGAGAAAACTAACACATGCTTGATTTCAGCATCTACTCATGTCTCTCCTGCTTCTGGGAATCTCAGAGCCCCTTGGGATTCCTAAGCTGAGTCACCAGGGGACGGGCCTCTCGGCTGTTGCTGCGGTCTGTGCGTGGTGTCTCTCTTGTGCCTCTGAGACGTGGATTGTGGACTTTCCCCTTCATTGGGCTTGTTCTGGGGCTGTCCTTCTTTCCTTTTCCCCAGTGTATCTGGGGGAAGCATAGGGTCTGGATTGTCTTGGCACTCGGTGTCTTCTTTCTGAATACTCACTGCTCGTAGATCCTGCAACTTGCTTCTGTATCTGTTCCATTTCTCTCTCTGTTCCTTTCCTGTGTAAATGGAGCTGTGGATTGGGCACTGAGAGGCTGGGCTTTGGGGTTTGGTTTCTGGGCTCTTCCTTGACTTACCACATTTGCATTTGGGGGAGGATTTTTTTTTTATGATGTTTTAGCTCTCTCATAATTAAAAATTTTTTTGAATGTTTATTGCCTTGTATTTTCAATGTCTGTAAAGTATGCTGAGAACTTCAGAGAAGGGTGATATCGGGAATCAGCTGATGAGGGAAAGGCAAAGGGGTATGCGACTGGAAAAAGTCCTTGATTTAGGAGCTAGGACGTCTGGGTCTGAGTCCTGGTTTTATTACCATGTCATTTAAACTGAACCTCAGTTTTCTCATCTGTAAAATGAAGGATACCAATAGTTACCCTACCCATATCGAGGTCATTGAGAAAAAGGTGCTCTATAATCCTTTAAGTACTGCATAATGGGCACGATGAATGAATTGTTGGTTGATTAATCAGGTCTCTCTATGTGGTCTGGTTGTAAGACTGCCCAAGCCAAATATTCTGAGCAGTGACATTTCTAGTCATTTGTTTGATCTGCAGATATTATCTCAGTCTCTTTTTGGCACATGGGAAGGGAACCTTCAGTGACTAGCAAGATAAATGGTGGTACAGTGGATAGAGGACGAGACTTAGAGCATGGAAAACCTGGGTTTAAATCTTGCTTCTGACACTTAATAGCTGTGTGACCTTGGGCAGGTCACTTCATTGCTGTGCCTCAGTTTCCTCACCTGTGAAATGAATGGAGCTGAACTAGATGGTCTCTAAGGCCCCTTTCAGCTCTAAACTATGATCTTCTGACTCCTATCCTCCACCTCCTTTGTCTGTTTCTTCTCCCCTCTTCCCTTCCTCCTAGTCTCATAAACACCCTCCCTAGTTAAGGCTACTTCCTTCTTCTCCACCTCTGCATTTCATGTAACAAGAAGGTGTGGGCTCAAAGTCAGGCCTCTCCCCGTGTTTAACTTTCTGTTTCCTTTAGAGAGAGGAGAAGAGATGAGGAAGGAGGAGGTTGATGGTCATGAACTAGGGCTAGAGGGTGGTCTGGTTAAAAAAACAGAAAATAGAAATATGAATGAAGCCCTGATGCAGGACTATTGGGCTGGGCCTCCTCTTATGGCCAGAGGATTGGCATCTGGGCTCCGCTGGTATCTGACATCTGGCA